AGAGGTCAGGGGTCACGGCAGCCCTCGCAGCAGATAGGCATCATGGAGGGACTGCCCAGGCACAGTCAGGTGCAGGTCCAGATGTCGGGGTAGTGTGTACACAACCACGTTACTATCCCCTTCCATCTCCTGCAGCCAGCAGTATTATTGCGCAGGACCAACATCTCCCAATGGGAGGATTCTGGAGGCTTCATTCCATGAACAAGTCAGAACGACGACGGTTAGCTGTCAGCATCCCTTCTCCCACAGGGAAGGACCAAGAGAGTCTCCCACACTTCATAACTCTTCCCCACTTCCACAGGCCAGGCCATAGTTTCAAGATGGACAATGGGATCCCAGGGGGGAAAAGCAGTGAACTGATTTACCAAACACATAGTGTTCATCTAGCGGGGGCAGATGAATTTATGGTGGATGGGTCATCCTCGGGAACCCGAGATGGCTCTCCAGTGCTCCACCCAAGGGTCTTCCCCTTCATCCACAGATAACTTTGATGCTTAGAGCAGGAGTTCTACTGGGTCATGCTGGGATTGGAGCCAGTTCTCCTGCTTCCTGGGCCTCTGTTCTTTCTAGCATGTTCCACTGTTTCCTGTTCTAGGTTGTCCTGTCTAAAATTCAGAACTCAAAAACGGGGCTGGGAGAACAGGCTCATACATGGCCCAGTCTGGAAGGCTGCAGTCCCAGGAAAGGTCCTGGCTGCTGTTTTGAACCCTGTTGGATCATTAGATATACACAGGTCATGGCCTCTCTACTGGCGACTCTGTTCCCTGTGGAAACTGTCCCAGGTGGCACATAAGGTTGGACCGGAGAGAGAGCTTTCTCTGTCATCCAGCATGGGCTCCAGGGTATCCCTGAGTCTGAAGGAAAGGTTCTCAGTAAATGCCTTGCTGGACCCCAGCCCGGCCAGGTGCAGGGAGAGGCGTGGGGCAGAGACCAACCAAGCCAAGAAGCCTCAAGCCAGAGCAGGCTTTCACCAACAAACTCAGCTGGTTTCTCAGGTGTCCACATCAGATGTCTGGAGGTGTCATGGGACAGCTGGTCATAAAGAGCCCTGGTTAATCTCCCTGCTGGGCTCCAAGAGACAGAGGCCATTGAGGTGAACAGGTGACCCAGGGCAGGACTCTGAAATCAGAGACGCTGCTGTGCCCTGGAGGGAAGTACTGTGCTTCCTCCCTGTCCTGGCTTGTAGCTGAGTGCCAGATGGGTGAGCGGTAGGTCCCTTTGCACAGAGTTGAGAGGCCACATTGGCAGGGAAAGCTTATCTCCCCTGAGCTGGGATAGTCTGAATAGGGCCTCATCTGTGAGGTGAAAGGGTGACCCAGCAGGATCTCAGAGTCACTCCAGGCCCTTAAAACACACAACAGGACCCCAGATCACCAGGTCCTTCAGAGTGGGGCCTGAGCTCCAGACCAGCAACCCAAGCATATGCACTTCCAGGGGATAAAGTCTTTGCTGGAACCTTGCTTGCCCCGGCACATCCTAGAAGGGAGGTGGCCAGGAAAGAAGTGCCTGACTGGCTTCGTGGTCATGGGAGGGGCTGGCACGCCACATGATCGCTCAGCCCTAGTCCAAGCACCCAGATGCATGGCCATCCCCTTCCTCTGTGGCCAGCCCTCCCTTCTGGTGACATGCTCTTAACTGCTGGCTCTGCCTTTACCCCACTCATCCCTTGCCCTCCTTCTCTCTTGTTCTTTCACAGGCCGTGCCCAGTGTCACACTATGCCTGCCCATGATTCAGTTCAGGGTCTCCATGGGCACTGCCAACACAAGTAAGCAGTTAGGGGCACACAGGCAGAGAATTCCTGAATTTGGAAGCACAGAAGCCAGGTCAGACCCAGAGGGCTCCGTGGAGGAGGGCAGAACCTGTGACTCCTGAACACCCTGAGCCTGTACAGGGGCACAGTGTGGACAGCCACTCTTCTGGGGGTCATGCTAGTCCCCTGTGCCCATTGGTTTCCCACGAATTCAGCCAGCCACAGACAGAAAATATTTGGAGAGAAAGTGTATCCTGAACTTGATCTTCTTGTCTCTAGCCCCTAATACAGTGTGACAGGGACTTATCTGACACTCAGTCTTGTAACGCTGAGTTGGACTAGGGCACACGGGAGAACTACCTAGGTCTGATGCAAAAAAGTCCCTTTATACACGAGACTTGAACATCTACAAATTGGCGCATCAGAGGAGAGTTGGGGTATCAGCGTCCCTAGAGGAATTTATGGGTAGAAGTGCTTTGAACCCTAAAAGACATTGCTGCTGGCTGTGACTATAGTTATAAGGTATTGATGAAAATCAGCCTCCTCCTCCAGGAAGCTCTCCAAGGTGACACTAAGCTTGTCCTCCACCCCCAGTCCTCTCCATTCCAGGCTCTGACAGTGCTGAACCTGCTGAGGCTTTCCTCAATCCTCTCCTACCTCCTTCACAGTGAGGATCGTGGGGACAAACGATCCCAGGACCAGTGTCAGGATGGTGGGGGCAAGCAGGTAGCTAGCTCTCTGTGAACTTACTGCCCTGGAATAAGAGGGAGCATGAAGATTTTTGGGTTGCACATTTGTTTGGCTTATTTGTCTAAACCGTTTTCCCTTTTTCTTTTTGATGGAAATAAATCTCTAGCGATAAAAATAACCCAGAAAAAATAAACGGCACTTCTGCCCCAGCACCCAGAGATAAGCCCTGAGCTCCGGGTGCCTTCAGCTTGGAGCCTAGAGGCCCCCTCTTCACTCTGCAATAAAGAGCTTCTGCCAGGCCACCTTTGGAGCTTTGTTGGCTTTGTGTGTGAGACGGCACACGTGCGCATGTGCACAGCCTCGGCTGTTGCTCTTCAACTGCTGTCTTTTTTTTTTTTTTTTTTTATGGCACAGGGTTTCATGGGCCTGGGACTTGCCAGGTAGGTGAGGCTGGCGGCCACTGGGCTCCGGGGATCAGCCTGTCTCTGCTCTCCCAGAGCTGGGTGTGCAGGCGTCACCACCATGTCACTAACTGAGCCGTCTCCGACACCTGTTCTGTTTGTGCTCTTTAATCTCTTTTTTTATTGTTTGAAATTTTCTTACATGCCTATAATTGCCTGAACCCATCCTCTCCAGCTCTTCCTGTCTTCTCCACTTTTCCTTCCTGTGTCACGTGCTCTTAGTCCACTTAGCGTGTGTTTACCTGGGTGCAGGATCATCTACTGGAGCGTGTGTAGTGTGCGAGTTGCTTTTCTGTTACTGTGATAAGACAATGCAATCAAATGCAATAAGATACGGAAGGAAGAGTTTATTTGAGGTTGCGGTTCCATGGGAACCGCCCATAATGTCCAGAGAGGCGTGGCCACAAGAGGTCAGAACAGGAAGCTGAGTGATTACATCTCAGCTGCATACAGGAAGTTGAAAATAAGAACAGGAAGTTGATTAAGACTCTAAACCCTCAAAACCTAATGATGCACTTCCTCCAGCAAGGCTGTGTGTATCTTCTAAAGGTCCCGTAACATCCCTCCATTAATAGCACCACCAACACAGGACCAGATGTTCAAACGCAGAGCCTGTGGGGGGACGTTTCTCATTTAAACGACATCAGGTAGCCTCTTGGGGGCAGCATCTCTGAAGAGAACGGACTCTCCTCCACCGGAAGCCATCAGTTGCCAGTTGCTCCTCAGCTAGGGGTGCGACTTCATGCTGGATCTTTCTGGCCTGTTCTTGTGCCGTTCTTACGCATGCTATCCCAGCCACTGTGAATTCGTGTGTGCAATGGCTCCGTCATGTCTGGCAAATTGTTTTGCTACAGAGATGTGCTCTGTCTGGGTCTTACAGTATTTCCAGCCCTTCTTCCCAAACGATCCCTGAGCCCTGGGTGAGGGATACCGATGTCTCATTTAGAGCTGAATACGCCATCATCTCCAACATTCTCTGCAGGTTGGTCAGTTGTGGCTCTCTGTATTGTCATCTCCTGCAAATAAATACATAAATAAATATGCCTCTCTGACGAGGCTTGAGAGACGTGCGAATCTATGGATACAAAGATAAGTACTTAGGAGGTCGTTGGATGTGTCCACTTAGCACAGTACCAGTACGAGGTCCTCCCTTAGGGCTCCTGATAGGCCTTCCTCTCTGATAGCATGCACAGCATCTTCCAGCACCATGAAGCTACCCAGTAGGGATGCTTCCAAGTCAGAACCAGCTTGATTTCACTGTATTCTGTAACTCAAGGATGTGGTGTCTTCAACAACAGGAGTGAATTCTGCAGGGGAACCAATAGCAATTTATAATATTTGGGGGAGCCTATAGGACCCCACTGACCAACCACTTGAAAGGAGGTAATCCATACCTGCCTTTTTATATGATAGACAGTGTCTGGCCTTAGAACTCATTATGTAGCTCAGGCTAGCCTTGGAACTCAAAATGTAGCCCAGGTTGGCCTTGAGCTCCCAGAAATCCTCCTGCTGCTGCCTCCTAAGTAGTTGAATGGCAGGCATGCACCATACAGCCTGTTTTTGTTTTATTTTGTTTTAAGCGGTCCCAGGGTTACCTTCCAAGCACATAAAGACAGGTCTATGTCACCTCTGTGGATGGATATTCCTGTGACGTCCCTATGCTATGTTCCAGCCTGCATTGCAGGACTTGGAGGATTTGGATATCCTCCCTGGGTTCACAGTCCTATATGGCTGTTTCCCTGTGTGAGCAGACGTGAGCGCCTGTATTTTTCACAGAATAAAGCAGAAGGAAGGTTGGGTGAGCCACAGGCCTGGCTGTGCACCGGGAGCTGTGTGTGCCACATTGGTTAGGGCAGTGTCACCTGGAACTGAGCGAGTTGCTGACTACAGAGTGACCATGGTCTGGGAATGGGTCAGCACAGCCTCCATCTCCCCTCCTCTGAGGAGACGGGATGGCTGGTCCAGCCTCGCCTTCACTGGTGGTACCCTAGAAGTTCTCCATGTATTTGGGGACCCTGGGAAAGGGTGACTTGTCTAACCACAAATGGAAAGGATAAAAATGGTCCCCGGGTCACACTTGCGATTCTCTGCCCTACAGGTGGTCTCAGTGGCGCTACCATCATCGATTCTCTCGACACGCTCTACCTCATGGAGCTGAGGGAAGAGTTCCAGGAGGCCAAGGCCTGGGTGCAAGACAGCTTCCACCTGAACGTGGTGAGTCAGAGGCCGTGGGGAGGCAAGGGCTAGCCTCCGGCTCCACGGACAACAGGCTTCTTGCCTGGGACTATGGAATAGAGCAGCAGAGGGCCAGGGCTGCAGTCTCCTCACCTCAGGGAAGACTAGGCCTGAAGTGGGGATGTCTCCCAGCTAGTGTTCTCTGGTACAAGGGGACACAGCCAGGGCCACCCCTCCCTGCCCACAGCGCTCACCTTGGGCTGTTGCTCCTTGGTAGGAGGAGAAGAACTGGAGAGCTGGGAAAGGCTCCCTCCCCCACACCCTTGGTCCCCTCAAGGTGGGACAAGGATGATGACCACGGCAGGCAGGGGAGAGTTTTTTATGTCGCCATAAAGTCAACAGGAAGGCTAAGTGTCCTTAGTCTCACTGTTACAATTACTTGAATCATCTTGAGGCTTTTGTGACTTCTGGAGGCTGTGAGGCCAGGGGAGCCGTTTGCTCCTTTTCTGTGGAAGGGAGGGGGCAGAGAGCATCTTCAGGGACTCACCCGGCTCCCCTGGACAGACCCCAGCTCCTCTAGGCAAAGTATGGGCCTGCCTAGAGGACCAGGGAGCTGTGGACACTCAGGTAAGCTGAAGTAGGTTAGTGTGTTTTCAGGAGAAAGAAAGGTGGGGGTCATGACCTTTTTGAGCCTTAGTTTCTTCATCTAGAGAATGGGGTGATGTCACGGAGTGCTATGAGGCTGAAAGGAAGTGAGATTTGCACACTCTTTGCTAGTGGAAAAATCCTCCCAGATTAACAGATAACAGCCAGGCCTGGTAGTGCCGTCCTGGAATCTCAGCTACTGTGGAGGTAGCTGAAGCAGCACAAGTTCAAGGCTAGCCTGAACAACTTAGCGAGACCCTGTCTCAAAATAAAGAAAAAAGAAGGCTGGGTTTATAACTCATTTGCCTAGACCCTCAATTAACTCCCCAATGCTCCAAATAAAAACTTAAAATAGGATGCGGAAAGCTGCCAAGGGGAGCCCCTGGGGCAAAGGAGGTGGAAACAGGAACCTGCGGGGGACCCCAACGCAGCTTACTGTGCACCTGAGAAGGCCCCTTTGGGAGGTGGTGTGCAGGAGGGAACCCAGTGGGGAGGGAGAAACCTGTCTCAAGTCACAGAGCCATGTACATGGCTAAAGTGGGGAATTTAGCTGGACCATGCCCTTGGCATGATGCCCCCACACCTGCTTTGTCCAGGGCGGGGGTGGACAGTCATAGAGAAGGGCAGTGTGAGTGGCCCCAGAGGCTGATGGGTCTTACACAGGCATCTACCCACAGCCTCCTGCTCAGCCCTGCCCTGCTCTCTCACCCCAGGGAAGGGCCTCTCTCATTCCAGCTAAGCCAGGGGAGTTTCTCAGGAGCAGGTAAGGGTGGCAAGCCAGACTAGAGAAGGCTTTGCATCTCCTTGGGCTAAGCTTCTCCCTGCAGCTCGGCACAGGTCCTGGAGCTCCTTGGAGCACAGCCAGGCGTAACTGCTCCAATGGCCTCCGGCAAGGCTGGGGAAGGGAGCCAAAGCTGGTGTTTATTTGGAACGCTTAAATGCACAGTAGCAACTGCCAGGCAGGTGCTGGCCTCTCCCAACCTCAGCTATGAAAACAGAGCTGTGGCCTGGCCTGCTGAGGTCCTCGGGGCCGGGTACAGGTGTGTACTGAGGGGAGCAGTGTGGCCTTCGTCAGGGCCTGGCTGCCTGAGGAACCTCACACGCATCCTGACTGTCCTGTTGCCCCCATCCCCCACCTTCTTGCAGAGTGGAGAAGCATCTTTGTTTGAAGTGAACATCCGGTATATCGGAGGACTGCTCTCTGCCTTCTACCTGACAGGAGAAGAGGTAAATTGGTCCTTTGAGGCCCCAGGCTGGACAGATCTTAGAAAAACTATAGTCCTGCCTCTGCTTTAGCTTCATGGGGACAGGAAGTCTGCCAGAGACCAATCAGGACTCCCGTGAGGATTCCACATTGCTCAGATCTGTGGCCCAGGTGAGCACACATGGCTCTCAGAGCAGCTGATGAATTCTCTGAGGATGGAACAATGACTGTGAAGAACCAGACACATGCCCCGCACCAGCAAACTGCCATTCATAGATGTCAGGTCTCGGGACCCACAAGGCCAAACTGCTGCTTCCCACTCCCCAGGGCCGTTGGCTTTTTCTTTGTTAATGTGTGTGGGTGTTTGCTTGTATGTATGTATGTATGTGAACCACATGTATGTCTAGTACCCAGAGAAACCAGAAGAAGGCATTGGATCTCCTGAAATTGTAGTTACAGCTCAATGTGAGCCTCCATGTGTCAGGATTTGAACCTGGGTCCTCTGGAAGAGCAGCCAGTGCTCTTAACTGCCGAGTCACAGAGCCCATAGGTTTTCATATACTTCAGAGCTAACCCTTTCCTTTGCTCCCCTCCTGGGCAGAACTGCCTGTGCCCATTCACAAGGGAGCAGTGGAGCAATGGGGCCGCCCTGCTGGCCATAACCTGTAACTGCAAGGCTTTGAGGGCCAAGAAGTGCCCAGGGTCACTTGCTGGTGGCCTCAAACAAGTCCCCTCTTATCACTTTCTTTCCAATCGTCGGATGGTCATGTTACCTCTTTAGACCAAACAGCCCTTGTGACATGGAATAGGACAGAGAGTTTGGCCAGGGCTGTCACCTCCAAACGGTGTCTCCTCTCTGCCCGAGAATTCTGAATTGTACTGAGATTGGGAGAAACTGGAGCATCCCTTCTCCCCTCGTGAGCTCTTGTCATAGCACAGCTTGAGTATCGGGTGGCCAGGTTGGCAGCGTCCCCAGAATACAGGTCATCTGTCAGACTGTTCCCTGGGATCCAGAGGGCCACTCTACCCAGCTCTGCCATCACTTGGAAGCAGGAGCCAGGCAGGTAAAGCAAGCAAGCTACAGAGAAATCCTGGCCCGCTCCATCACTGGGATCCAAGAAAAGTCTTCCTCCCTCTGCTGTCATGACTGAAGTTGAGCGCTTAGCAGCAACAAGCCGCCCTTGTCTCTCCAGCCGCTTCAGGCCGCTCTCCATCAAATGTAATCTCCTCAGCAGAGATTACCACTTGTACCAATTTGTCCAAAAAAATTGTCAATGGGCGCCCTCGGCTTCAAGCCTCCCAGAGCTTGGATGTTATTTGAAAACCCCAGGGCAGGAAGATGACTGAGCGAGCAAGGGGAAAAGGCAGAGCCATCTATGGGCTTCAGAGGTTCTGGATGCTGTGGTTGGAGGGATGGATGCAGGGAAGGGGAGGGGAGATGTTTAGGACTAGCTGAGAAGTTAATGGCTCCTGAGTGACAGCCACCCAGCCATCCTTGGACGTTTCTCTGAAGAGTCTGTAGTTCTGAGCCCTCGGCTCCCTGAGCCACCCTCACTTTGACTTCAGGATTTACATCTGGCAGGGAGCTACGGACCAGGGCATTGGTGACTTGAGAAAACAGTTCACAGCCAGGTGGTGGTGGGACACTTCCTTAATCCCAGCACTCAGGAGGCAGAGGCAGGTGGATCTCTGAGTTAGAGGCGAGTTTGATCTACAGGGTGAGCCAGGCCAGCCAGGGCTATACAAGAGAAACCCTGTCTCAAATTAAAAAAAAAAAAATAAGAAAAAAGGAAAGAAGGAAGGAGAAAAGACATTCATAAGACTCAGAGGGATGCCCAAGTAAGCAGCATGCTGAGTCTGTCAGTCCAGCCCCTGCCCAGAGCCACAGCATACCGCCATGCTCCCTGCTATCCGCAGGCGTCTTCCTTTCTAAATACCAGGCTTCTGTGCACAGCTCCGTGGGAGCCACCAATGTCCCATCAGTGAAGGAGGGACATCACCCACTTACAGATGATGAAACAGACTTATAGCCAACCGTGAGTCAGGGCTGTGCCAGGCCTCACTCTGGCCCTTTGACCCTTCAGTCTGTCTCCGTTGTCAGTGCCTGCTTCTAGTCCCAGTAAGCTCCAGCCACGCCCAGTAGCTACCTATTGGGGACATTTCTTAACTTCCTACAAATGTGTGCGCCACATCTGCTGGCTGGCACTTTCTTTGCTTCAGAGCGAGTAGCAGACAAGGACCCTGCCGTTGGTCACTCCTGCTGAGACTGACTCCTCTCAAGATGACTGGCCAGAGAGATATCTCAGTAGTTATGAGTACTGGCTGCTCCTGCAGAGGACCTGGGTTCAATTCCTAGCACCCACATGGTGGCTCACCAACCTCTATAGCTCTAGTCCCAGGGGTCCTGATGCCTTTCTGGCTTTCCTGAGCCCTGCATGTATATGGTGTACAGAAATACATGCTGGCTAAGCACCCTTACACATAAATTAATAAAATATTTTTTTAAAGATGCCAGGCACCATCAGAGCTGTTCTGGGGATGCTAGGACAACACTTCACAGTTTAGAAGCACGTTCACACAAAAGCTTCTTCTTTCTCAATTTCTACAAGAGCTCTCTGGAGCTGCCACACATCCCATCGTCCTCCTAGGCAGATGGAAAAATTGAGGCTCAGAGACTGCAGGGTTCAATGAAGGTCACACAGTGGCAGAGAGGATGTGTGCTGGGCCCTGGCTCCATGTGCTTCTGCCCTGCAGGGTGGAATTCACACCCATTTCCTTCCTGTTTGGGGACTGAGACCACGAGGCCACTGAGGTCACATCCCTCTGAGGAGAGACTCTTAGGTGTCCTGGTGAAAGCCACAGAGCTCTACAGCCTTGAGCAAGTCACCCAGAGCTGGGCTGTCTCAGCCTTAGTGAGGACCTTCTCTGCGGGCTGTTGCAGAGACTGAATTTCTGTCACAGCCCCTCTCCCCTGCTCTATCCACGATGGCAGAATGGACCCGTGTCATGATGGCAGAGTGGACCCATGTCATTTCATTTTAGAACTCATATGCTCTCCCTCCCCAGTGCCACTGGCACCTCCTGTGACAGCCAAACAGCAAGGCCTCCTAAGGTGTGCACAGGAAGGACATGGTACTCTGGCAGGGAAGAGAAGGCCCTTCTAGCTAGCTTAGCAGCCTTGGAGTCTCAAGCAACCATGCAGTCTGGGTGGGTTCCATTTGCCACCAACAACCTCCTGGATGGGTAAAGCCATCCAAAGGCTGCATGAGATCAAGGCTCTTACAAGCCCTTTCTGTCACTAAGCCAGTGGCTTTCCAGCCTGGTTGAGCACTGCAGTAAACCCACAGAGCCGACCCTGCAGCTCCAGGGGACAGGTCCCTCTGGGTTCTAGAACAGCTCCCTGGGGTCTACTCCCAGGTCTCACTGACAGGCACTGGGCAGTGTCCTCTTGTCTGACCACATGGCCAGCCCTGCCACTCCCCCTTCCTCCCTGGCAAGGCCATGTACCCTCAGAGGCCTCAAACCTGTCCACCGGCTCAGAGTTGGGAAGCTCCTAGCATCTGTCTCACAGGACTTTGGTTGTTTGTTTGCCATATATTCTGTGGAATAGAGATGAGACTGGGGCCCTGGGTACTTGGTACATGAGCTCTGTCCCCCAGGCCCTCGGTCAGCAGGTTTTTGTTGCTGGTGGCTTTGTTAGGGAGGTGAGGAAACTGAGTCAGCAGAGTGACAGACTGGGGACATGCATCTCAGCTCTAAAATGACTTTTATGATCCTCTCCAGGTATCCATGGTGATTGGGCCCAGAACCCCTATGGATCTCAAATTCCAGGAAGGCTCAAGCCCGTCCCTGAAATAGCATGCTATTTGCAGAGAGCCTACGTCCATCCTCTCAAAGTCCTTAGGACCCAACAGCTGGGGCTGTGCTCCGTTCTGGTCTTTAGGAATAACACTCCCTGTGCATGCTCAATACAGATGTGATTTTTAGTCCCTCCTCCAGGGTGTGGCCCACACTGGCTTCTGATGTTTCTCTTCCTCAGTGTCAGGGTTACGGGTGGACCCCATCATAGCCAGCTTTTTTTTTTTAAGTGTGTTTCTACAGTTTGTTGAAAATGGAGTCCATATAACTATGTTATAGATCTGGTATGTGTGTGTACGTGTGTGTGTGTGTGTGTGTGTGTTTGTGTGTCAAAGAGAGAGAGAGGGAGAGGGAGAGGGAGAGGGAGACGGAGAGGGAGACGGAGAGGGAGAGGGAGAGAGATTGAGATTTGGCATGCATGCATGTGGGCAGGCGCCTGTACACACAGAGCAGGACATCTCTTACTGTACTGCAAGCTTGATGTTTAGGCTAGGTAGGCTGCTTAGCTCTGTCCTGCCCAGTACCGAGGTCCCAGGAACTTTTTATGTGGGTGCTGGTGATCTGAGCGCAGGTCCTCGGGCTCACAGAGGGAGTGCCCTGACCACTGAGCCATCTCCCGAGTCCTATTGTAAAATTACACAGGCTGAATACAGTCATATATACCTCTAGTCCTGACTACTCAGGAAGCTGAGACAGAGGGATTACTTGAGTGTAGGTGTTCAAAAGCAGCCTTGGCAGCACAGTGAGACCTTTACTTCAAAATACAAAAAATAATTGCGTAAAAGACACAAGTAGCCCAGAAAGAGGAAATAAATGCCGTCCGTGGGTTAACCCCTCTGAGAGGGCATTGTTAACGTTTTCATATGTTTCCTTCTTTCATCAATCCATCTATACGTAAACAGATTTTAAACTGAGTTACAGTATTTTGAAATACTTTCCTAGGTTCAAAGGTGTATATACTCTCCTGCTACTGTGTCATTTCAGTGGTTATGTGACATTACCTCACGTGGAGGCCAGAACTGAGCCATTTCCGCGTTGCCTGGTGTTGTCTGACTCACCATGGTCTATTTTAGGCAATGCCGGAATAAACAGCCATAATATAAACTCTTCTGTAACACTCTCAGTTATTTATGTCCTAAGAGAAATCAGATTTGTTTAACTTTTTTTTATTACATCTGTCCGTTTGTTTTGTGAGGATGTGTGCACACTCATGTGTGTCGCAGCGTACATGTAGTTGTCAGAGGACAACTTCTGAGAGTGGGCGCTCTCCTTCCATCATGTGAGTCTCAGGGATTGAACTCGGGTCATCAAGCTTGGCAGCAAGCCCCTTTATGAACTGAGGCCTCTTGCTGGCCCTTTTGGAGAAATTGGTTACAAGAGACACTGCTGAATGTGAAGGCCACATGTTCTGAGCTAATCTGGCATTTCAGAGGGACAGTTTAAAAGGCTCGTAACCTCGCTTGAGGGCCCTGAGCTGTGACCTTGTTTATGGCTCCTTCGCTATCAGGTGGAGGGTTTAAAACAACCCGTTCACCCTTCCTCCCCTGAGCCTAACATGAAAACAGTTGAGTAGCCTCAGAGTATCAAAGAAAGACATTGCTCCTGCACTCTCATGGAGAAGCTGCCACCCGGGAGGTGGAAGTTTCTAGAACCTGGAGGATGGAATGGTCTGGGCTCCGAGTCCGTTGCTGTATATTCTCCATACAGACACACAGCTCAGTTCCCTTACTCTGGCTGTTTTAATTAGCGCCCCCTCACAGAACAAAATGCCCGAGACAACTTAAAAGAAGAAAACATCCGGCTGTGCTCTCTGGTTCAGTGGTCCATCCTCACTTAGCTGCTGCTTCATCTCCAGAGTGGTCCAGGACCTCATGAATGGAACACATGATGAAGGAAAGGCTAGGAAGCAGAGAGCAAGGGAGGGGTGGGGTGGGGGTCCCACTATCCCCATCAAGCCCCCTCCAACCTCACTCTTTCCCCCTAGATTCCAGTTTTTAAAGGTTGTACCATCTCCCAGTAGTAACAAAACTGGGGGCCAGGCCTTTGACACATAGACCTTTGGGGTCGCTCCAGGTGCAGGCCACATCATTCAACCTGTAGCATCCCACAGCCGGCAGCATCCCACAGCCTGCAGCATCCCACAGCCTGCAGCATCCCACAGCCTGCAGCATCCCACAGCCTGCAGCATCCCACAGTCCGCAGCATCCCACAGCCCACAGCATCCCACAGCCTGCAGCATCCCACAGCCTGCAGCATCCCACAGCCTGCAGCATCCCACAGCCTGCAGCATCCCACAGCCTGTAGCATCCCACAGCCTACAGCATCCCACAGCCTACAGCATCCCACAGCCTGCAGCATCCCACAGCCTGTAGCATCCCACAGCTCGGTGAAGGCAGTGTTGATGCCAGCAGTCCCCCCTTCTCAGTGGGGTCTGTCTCTGGACTTGGAGGCTTCACTGACTATTTTCCCTTCCCCTTCTCAAGGTCACCTGATCACAGTGACAGTTCTTCATCCCCCTACCATCTGAGGACCAACCCAGGCATTTCATGAACACAGAAATGGACACTCAGAGAGAAATGCCCGGTGTAAGGACCACAAAAACCAGCTGTCTGGGAGCCAAGTTCTGTCGCTGCAGAGTTACTCTTCCCAGTCCTGTCACCCAGCCTTGACTACAGCACAGGGTTAGAGTGACCACTCCATCCATTTCGGACTTAGTGCCCTTTGACCTTTCTCCACAGGTGTTCCGAGTGAAGGCCATCAAGCTGGGAGAGAAACTGCTGCCTGCCTTCAACACACCCACGGGCATCCCCAAGGGCGTGGTGAACTTCAAAAGGTGAGATCCCCCCTGTGAACCGCTGACCGTGCTCCACTAGCATTTGTGGGTCCCGAGTTGGGGTCCCAAGTTGGGGACCCAATGAGGAGGCCCAGGGACAGCTGGCAGACAAAACAGAGTCCTGGGGAGTCAGTTTTGTCTGATGTAAATGTTTACAGATGTGAGGGCTGTGGCCCTCGAATGGATAGTTCCTGTTCTGTGCACACTGAGAACTGACCTTTGCTAAGTGCTACCTGGACAGGCACCGCTTCCCAAGTGTAGGTCTTGGGCTTTGAGCCACCCAGGCTTGATGTTCTCAAGGTGGGAGGGACAGTTGTTCCTCTGCAAACAGCTGCCAGTGCCGCCAGTGTCGTGTTGATGTAGAACCTGTTGGCCCTGGCTTCCCAGGTGGATCCCACAGCTCTCTGGGCCATGCAGGACATCCTTGAGCTGGGCGAAAGGCTGGGGTAGTCCATGCTCCCTGTCCTGTGTGAGCACTCACCTGGGGTACCTCACAAGAGTGCTGACTGGATGCCTGGGCAGGGATCCACTCAGCTCTTCCTGGGCCTCATCCTCCCTTGCTGCTCTGTGGCCTTGGTAGCTTTGCCCTCTGTGTCCCCCAGACCAGCTCCTTCTTCACTTCCCCCTGGTGAAAAGCCTTCCCAGTGTCCTCACTAAAACTTCACAGAAGCCAGGACAGCCATGCAGATGACAGAGGCCATCCTCCACATGAGTTGATACCTCAGAAATGCACACACAGGCCTGGGTGCTTCTCCACAGACACTGATCCTGAGAATGAAGGCGGAAGTGGCCCACGCCCTGAGTCTGGGCACAGCCCCTAGTGCCCCTCCCTCAGACCTATCCCCTCCCTCCTGTGGCCCCCCAGCGGAGCCTGGTCCTACCCAGACCCTAGGATTCCTGGCACAGGAGTGGCTATTTTTAGGCTTCTTGCTTGCCATCGAGAGATGCTGCGTGTGCGGACTTCCTGGCATTGCTGCTCACTTTCGTATTCTGGGCAAGAAGCAACTGCTAAAAATGGGAGGGTCACAGGGATGCGGCAGCACACTCTACCGAGAAGAACTGAGGAGAACGCTCCTCAGAGATGCCCTGGCAGAGGGCTGGACCCACTTGCTCTTCCTGTAGTATTCCAGCAGGCCTGGTCCGGGGCATCTAGCGGGCTAGGTGAACTGCCCTGGCCCAGCACTGCCCAGCGTGGACGGGTGTTTACCTCTGCCGGGGAGGAATGGTGAGGGAGCCAAGGTCAGCTGTGGCTAGCAGAGACCACTGGCTACCCGAGACCGTGATTGTGGCCAATCCAGGGCCGTGCACGCGCGCATGCGCACAAAACACTCCTGCTGCCGCCCGGGGCCGCTAGTAAGGGCGCTGAGGTTCAAGATGGCCACGGTCATGCCCTTCTCAAATCCATACGTGCCTCCTGCAGTCATCCAGATGTGTGTTTACATGGGTGTTCTCCCTCCAAACAGTCTTCCTCTATACATCTACATAATCGCACAGGCACCCTGTGAGCACGCGACAGGGAACTTTCCTTTCTAACCACCGGGACCTCACTTTGCCAGGAAAGAAAACAAAGTTCAGAGAAGTACAGGAACATCCCCAAGGTCACGCAGCAACCGAGTAAACTTAGGATTTGAACTCAGTTTTACTGTCATAATTACACCACACACAGGAGGTTTATCAAGTATGGGGGTACCCTGTGGAGCAGCCCCCTTTGCCCGGGGAGAGGAGAGGAATGCAGATCTTACTGTTGGTTCACTGGCTCACAGAGCTGTTCGGAGGACCCCTCTCCTTTCTAGAGTGCTGTGGGTGCATCTAGTACTGAGGATTTACATTAGGCTCTACCGATTGCTGTGTGACCTTGAAAAAGTGCCTCCCCCTCTCTGAGTCTAAGTATTCCCACCTATGACAGTAAGATCACAGTATCTGCTAATAGAGTTGGGTGAAGATAAAATAAGACACCAAAGCCACCTGGTTCCCGTTAGAAGTGTATTGTCACTTACATATGCATAATTACATACTGATAAAAATGATAGTCACGTGCATAATTGATACCTCACAATAGCTCCCGAGGCTGAGCACCTTGGTTTAAGGGAGGACGCTGAGGTGTAGAAAAGTAGTAGAGGCTCTCCTGAGGGCCCCTGGTCTGCGACAGAGGAAGCCAGTAACGAGGGAGAGAGGGACAAGTGCCCCAACACACACGCACACTCACACGCACACGCACACACACTCACACACACCCACACACATACACACACACGCACCCACACACACACACTCACACACACACATACACACACTCACACGCACACACACTCACACACAC